CGCCAACAGCACCGATTGTTGATCTTCTGAAGGTTGATTTGACTGCTGGTTCCCATTGGTCATCTGATTGTTGAGGTTAACTGCTGCTGTTGATGTACTGGGCTTAGCTGTTGAGAATGACCAATGAAAAAGTGAATGTACTGATTATATTAAAGGAACATTTACTTACTCTGATCCTCGTCGATCCTCTCTTCTGCAGGACTGTTGGCAGTTCCAGAGAACCCTGCAGCTTCCGAGTCACGACGTGGAGGAGCCCATCCTGTGTACCTGCTGCCTCCGTGGATCAGAGTGTGGTGAGATCCTTTGCACTTGTGGCATTGTTCGTCTGAGCTGCACCTGTCTTTTTTATGCGTGCTCAGGCACCTGAAGCATAGTTTCTTGTCGATGGCCAGGCCGTTCCTCTTTACTGGGTCCAGCTCCTTGAATTGCTGACACTTGTCAACAAAGTGGTTCCCTTTGCACATGGAAAACTCTTTCCTTTGGTGACTGTTCTGCTGAGCGCTGTCCTCCACTTGTTGAATTGCTGCGTAAGCTCCTTTCTCCTTAATAGGTGGTTTGCTGGGAGCTGCTATCTGGAGTGGAGTTTGGACCCTGCGGTGATACCCCTGGCACAGGACTCCACGAATACGACGAACACTTTGAGACTGGGGAAATCCTTGGCGTCTCCCAATTTCAATTCCCATTGTCTGAGGGTCTCTGCGTCCAAGGACTTCCTCAGGAGGTGAGCGAACAGCTGTTCTGTTAGGTTCGCTTTTGAAAGGCCGGCCACTGTTCTGAGCTGGTCCAGCGACTCGACCACTGCTGCCACGTTGTCGGTGAGATTCTGTTCCGTGGGTTTGGTGTTTTTTGGCAACTCCAGGACTCGATTAAATAAGTACTGTGCCAAAAGTCTGGGATCATCGTACTTCTTTTGGAGCTTTCTCCATGCGTTCTCATAATTCTGATCGCTGATGGGTATCGTAGAGATCAGAGCTGCTGCTGGTCCTCTGAGGCTGCTCTTCAGCCTCACCAATTTCTTCACTGGGGGAATTGTAGATTTGCTGCCCACCAGTAAAGTGAAGAGGTCACTGAACTCCTTCCACTGTGAAGGAGTGCCATCAAAAGGCTTGATGTCCAGTCTCTTCAGCTAATCGTGGTGTTGAGGACTCGGTGGTGTACTGGGTGGCTGAGCTTTCTTAGCTAGTTGACCCCTCAACCTGCTGATGAGCCTGACGCATTGCTTCCTGGTGGTGGCTGCCTGCTCGAATACCCCGTTCGCGAGATACGGGTG